ATATATATATATATATATATATATATATATATATATATATATATATATATATATATATATATATATATATATATATATATATATATATATATATATATATATATTAACGATCGAAATGCCGTTGTTAACTGAACATGGACAACAAATCCCCTTCTTAGATACCATGCTAACAATTGACAACGACCGCAACGTGGAAGACGATGTATATCGAAAGAGTTCGCACACAAACAAATATTTATCATTTAGTTCCCACAACCCTAACCAGAGTAAACGAGCTGTTGTTAATAGCCTACTTGATCGTGCTAAAAACATTCCCTCAACAATTTCAAACCAGAGGAATGAACAAGACTGTGTTATGAAAGATCTAGCACTCAACGGTTACTCAAGTAAATTTATTCAACAGACCTCTCAACCCACTGAAACACCTAATAGACTAAACAACAATCCTTAGGTTTTACATGCATCCCCTACATAAGAAGCGTATCCGAACAAACTAAACGAGTATTATGTAGCGCCGGTGTACGAACAGCATACAAGCCTATGGCCCTTATGCCAGTATGCCAAGTCCAAGAGCGGAGATAAAACCCTGGGTACGAGTAATTGTGCCAAGTCTGGGCGACATATTTGGAAAAGGGAAAGACAAACAAGCAAACTCTGAAATAAAGGGTATTGTCTATAAGTTTGAATGCCCAGATTGTCCTTTCACTTATATTGGATTGGTGAGAATCACTATATTTATAGCTCAGTGGTGAGAATAGTGAGAGTAAAAGATCGCGGAAGTCACGGTGGGCTGAGCACAAGCCAGGTGTACGACCGGAAATAAAGTCTGCAATTAAAGATCATGCAGAAACTACAGGACACGAGACTTCTATGGAGAATGCTAAGGTCATAGAGATGAGAGTGCAAAATACGCACAAGAGGCTCTTCCTTGAATCTCTGCACTCAGTGTTGGACAAAAGATCAACAAATGAACATAAATTATTGCCATCAATTTACATGCCATTAGTGCAGTCATGCAACGGTAATGACACCATATAATGTTCTGTCAGCTCCGCCTCAGTATATATAGAACTCTAAAGAAGGTTGCAGTTAGCAGCCGAAAATTCAGTACATATTTTTAACTTAAAACTTTTGAAATATTTTAACTAGAACAACTTCTCTTTTCTCAATATTTAGGCAACGATAGAAGATCGCGAAGGTCGCCACAAGTTCGTTTTGGATGTTATAGTTTCTACCCCCCTTCATGGTGTGCGAACTTCTTTCGTGATCGAAACCTTCCAGGTATGAATGTTTACAATATGGATTGGCATAGCCAAGGGGTGGCAACCCCCCCCCCCCCTCACTCGCGCCTTCCGAGTGCCCATCCTTAGCAGATTAGGTCTCATATTATAACTGAACAATACATATAACATGTAAATTATCTAGTAAATATACAACGAATAATAAGAAGAGTCAAAATGTTATCTTGAATACTGTACATGTCGGGAAATAAGCAGGATTTTAAGGCTTAAGAATTCAGGGTCGTACACAGCAGGGGGGGGGGGGTTGCAGGGAGCAACTGCCCCCCTCCCCCACCCCCCAGAGAACATTATATTTACGATTTTTAGAATGACATTATTATTCTTTGGATATTTGGGAATTATCTCGTCATGTAGGCTTTACTGCCCCCCTGGTGAAAAAATCCTGCGTACGGCCCTGTAAGAATTCCTCATTCTCAAGGAAATGTTTTACAAAATTCCACAAAATTAGCGTTGAAACTTGAAATTTTGTTCAGGTCAATAAAATCTAAAATTTTGTTAGCATGTCACTCGATTCAATAAATAGTTGAAGGATCTTGTAGATGGAAATTATCCACTGGAAATTTATATACATTTATTAGACCTAACCAGAAACAGCTGCGGAAGGAGAACACAGAAACCCACTCAGGCACAGATGAAGTATAGGAAGATGGCGACCGTGGGACAACTTTTTTACTGAAGTTAACACATCTGTTCTTACTTAATCTATGACTCAGATGAGTTTAAAACCAGACTCATATGAACAGACACTCACTCCAGTTTCATTTTCAGACACTAGGTGCAAGTGTTCCGGAGCCATCACAGCTAAGGCATTTGCACCGCAAGGAGGGAAGGCCGTAATCAACTGGGAAAAACCAAGTCTTAGATGTTCCTCTGGCCGCAAGGCGATAATCAAAAGCCAAGACGTTCAACCATCCTGTTTCAAGCCTCCTTTAGAGTTTGATGTTGGAAGGCATGGAGTCACATATACGTACGGTTATCAGAGTGGAACCAAAGTGGTGAAACTACAATGCCCAATGGAAATTGACATCATAGGTATGTACTGCGGATTTCGAAATTTTTCAGGTCTTTTACACGCAACAATTTCCAAAATATTAATAAAAACATGAAATGATTTACAAAGCTTCGTTAAAACGATAAATATGGTCATGGAACTATTTACGAGTATACTTCTTCTATTCTAAATGATTCTTTCACCGTAGCTGTGCTTCTTGATCAGATACGAGTCACAACGTGGATGCCAGAGGCGCCCTTAGAAAGGATGATTAGCACATACCAACTTCGGATGCTCTGGACCTCAGCTATCTGATTGAAAATGCTGCCCGCGTGTTTAGATACTAAAAATGAAGTTATTTATGATTTTTTCAGCTTGCCAATGCCCTGGAGTTGTTCGTGTTAATGCTGAAGTCGCTGGTGGTTCAAATACGACCTTCGTTTCCTGGACAATTCCCCAACCGAATTGTCCTGTAACTTTAAGTTCTGTCTCTCCCCCCGAGGCAAGAAATAGAAACGGCAGTTACCCAATTGGAAAATATGATGTTATCTATAACTACGAATACAGCAGTGCCTTTGGAAACTTTTCGCTCAGCTGCCCCGTGGAAATTACGATTAATGGTAAGTTTATGCTTATACTAAAACGTAAAAGTTCAAACTATGTCTATCTGTACAGGTTAGCTCTATCACTAGTTCTAAATCTTATTCCTTCAGTATGGGCTACTGACTTCGCTAGAGGTTCAATAAGGACGATTTGCTATTGATCCAGTGTTACTACAAGAGGAAACCTAAACTAAACTAACTTTATTTATACTGAATAGCTCTATCAGTTCTAAACTGTTCTTCTTAGAGGTCCAGTAAGAATCATCTCTTATTGATCGATTGTTACTACAGGAAGAAACATAAACTAACTTTATTATTAATATTGGATAACCCAGCTCTATCAGTTATAAACAGTTCTCCCTAGAGGTCCAGTAAGAGTCCTCTCTTATTGATCCAGTATTACTACAAGAGAAAACCTAAACTAAACTAACTTTATTTATACTGGATAGCTCTATCAGTTCTAAATTGTTCTTCCTAGAGGTCCAGTAAGAGTCATCTCTTATTGATCCAGTATTACTACAGGATGAAACATAAACTAAACTGACCCAGTTATCAACACTAGATAGCTCTATCAGTTTTAAACCGTTGTAGCTCTATCAGTTTCTAAACCTTTTTGGTCAGCGTTACAACTGTTACTACAGAAGGAAACCTAGCTATAACTTGCTGCAATTTCAGCTAATGCGATTTTATTCTCCTGACGCATGTGAACGAGTAGATGAATTATCAATGCTCTGAGTATATGCACCCTCATCTAACATACATAGCTCATCCACTCGTTCACATCCATCAGAGGAAAATCGCAGACTAGAAAGTGTAAACGTACGGGCCTTAAACTAGTACTGGCTAAAGGCGGTTTTCCAGTCCTCGCACGAAGCTCCTTGCAGCTCGCTGCGAGTGCTTGCATCTAATTAAAATTAACTGTTTAGAATTGTGATTGGATGAAAGTGCTCATGCATGCACTCGCAGCGAGCTGCGAGGAGTTTCGTGCGAGGACTGGAAATCCGCCCTAATTATTCTGTCAGTTTGTCCTCTCTAGCTCGAGGTCGAGCAAGGACAATGTATAGCTTAGTATTACCAAAGTCGGGCATCTGTATAGTCTCTATTCTGTGGTATTATTACAGAGGAAGCTGATAATTTCGGCTGTGTTTTTGAAGCCAAAGATGGCAGAAATTGAACACCGTCTTGTAGGTATGTCCTAGACTCCAATTCAGTACGAAAAATCAGCATCATTTCATGTAGAGATTTCGTAATTTTTTCGGCCGACTATTTTTTAAGTCTGGCTTTACCGTGGCTCTAAGAAAGTAAAGAAACTAAAGCAAGTGGTCTTTCAAAATAAGCAAATTTTAAAACACGGCTTCATAATAAAAGCAAACTCCGGCAGTTATTTGACAAGTCAAAAACAACTTCAGAAAAATCCCGCAGGGAAACACCAGCAAACTTTTCTGGACTGAACACAAAAGCGCCTGTCCTTTCATTTTGTTTCTAGCTTTCAAGTAAGGTATTTACCATTAAAATGAGCAATTATGTGCAAAAATTGAATCGATAGGAAGTCATTTTCATTAGCTCCGGCGAAACCCACGCGTGTTTTGTAACTACAAGAGATCACTCTATTGGCCGCCATCTTGGTTTCACCCAATCAACCGTTTACCTGGAGTTATAGTTCCAGTTTACTGGCTGCAACTCTTTAATTGTATTCTATTTTCCGTAGGGTAACAGAGTTTTGGTAGCTCCCATATGTGTTGTTGTAGAACAGTTCACGAGCGCAGAACTGGTTATGACTGTTGTGAACCAAGATTAAAACTAGTCGACTAACATAACGAATTAGATAGAACACAACCATGGGACTGTGGTTAAAGCTATAGTATAAAGTCTATAAACGTAGAGTAATAAAACAATGATATTTTGAAATCATTGTTAAAGATCTTGTAACTGTGAAGGATTAAAAGATTTCTGCTTAATATTTTGTGTTATTAATATGATAATGTATACTAAAAGTTATCGGGTGCTGATCAAATTTTTGTAATGCTATCAGGGGCGTTGGAGCGGCTTTAACAGTAGGGGGGGGGGCACCTACCGCTTCTTCCTTATAGACTTTACTTTTAGTTTGTTCCTATAATTGTTTATTGACTCAGAGCATTTTTCTGCAATAGAAGTGTGTCCCATACGCGTGTCTGGGGGTTTGGCTTCACTGAAAAAGATAAAGCTGTTTATCTGAAGGTGGCGTTCCAGTTATATTAAGTCAATGCCTGAGTCTCAGCGATCAGAAGATCACTCTGCAATCATTACAATCTCGTACGCACGTACTAGAAAAGACAGGCGGTGTGCGACACGTGACTGGAACCAGCCAATCAGATAACAGAACGCTATGCTACTGTTTCGGCAACATTCATGCCACTGTTGAAGGAGGTCGAAGCTTTTTTGAAATGATTCGTTGCTTAATTGATTCATCTTGAGACTCAGTTTGACTCTCAAGATAGCTTAGTTGATATTCTGACAAAGTGTCACGAAAATATTCGATTTGATTGTAACTGAACAGGATTTTTTGGCTTGCAAGTACGACAGACTCTTTGCAACAAGATGTGACTGTGTGGTCATTTCCGTAAGGCCTCAATAAGAATCCTGATTAATTGTTCGCTTAATTAACTGCTCATCGTATGGCTTGTTCAACGCCGGATAGAGTGCTGCTGAATCATAAAATCTGTGAGACTGGGTCTACCCTAATCTATCTCTTTTCGTTTAGCTGATATTTTGGATTTTAATGAGGTTATGCAATAAGCAAGGTTAACAACAAGGTAACATAGCGCGCGGAGCATGGGCCGAACCTAGGCGTTAAAGGCAGGAAGCACAACAGGCGTTGCCTGCATCATTGTGAGAAGCGCAGCTTGACGAGCAGTTTCTTGTTACTCTGATTCTTAATTCTTCATCATTTGTTTGCGTTCCACCGAGTAATTCGGTGTGATAGGTGCAAACGGGTGGTCAGGTCAATACTTGGAAGCTTGACCTGAATCCAAGTAATGGTAAGTATCTGGTATACAAACGGCAGGCCTCCCACCCAATGCACCTAACCATCCACACGGGTAAGTTGTACATGTATGTTACCGAAGGTGTTAATTTGTGCTAAAATTGTCGCGCCTAATGCAATGATGAAGAGGAGAGACGCACGGAATTACGTCACACAAAACTCTTTGTTCTCTGCAGCCAATCACAACACAGCACATGGCTTAAGGTATCCAATAGCATTCCCTTATTTGTATAGATCATGTCAGCGTGATATTTGTATATATGATATCACAGTTAATAGAAGAAGGATGATATTTAGATCTATTTAAATTACAATCTTTTTGGACAAATATGCAATTGACAAATATGGACATATAAACAGCGTCGTTATTGATATTCAATACCCCACGGTTAAACAGATGTTGTTCATGTTACTATGAAGTTTTTTACGGACAAAATATCTGAAATGTATCAATCGAGTTTATGCGCTATAAATTGATGTTATGTGCTATACATTGATGTTATGTGCAAATACAACAACGATACAACTAAAAGATAAACCGATACAACTGAAAGATAAACCGATACAACTAAAAGATAAACCGATACAACTGAAAGATAAACCGATGCAACTAAAAGATAAACCGATACCAATAAAAGATGAGGAAACGGAAGTAAATACAAATAAAAGATGAGGAAGTGGAAGTAAATTGGAAAAACGGAAGTAGAGCGACTCGGCAAAATCGCGCGTGCCAAGTGGCGCCAAGCCAGTGAATACACATTGAAAAACATGGCAGAAGAGAGACAGGACAGAAGAGAGAGTACCAAATGTTCAGGATTTTGTTCAGTCAATCTTAAGCGCAGTGACCAATTTACAGCATAATCAGTAGCAGTCTCTGGCACTAAGATCAATCTTTGCCAAACTAAACTGGTAAAGCTCCCAATGCGATTATTTAATTTTACCCATTAATAGCAGTTGATTAGCGTTTGCGACACGTGTCGCTTACCATGTTATTACTTATAAATAATAACCTCCATTATTCCCAATATTTCGCTTGAATAAAAAGTGGACCATCATAGGTTACAACCACATTTAACTACAACGTCATAAGTTTAAGCCTGCTATAGGACTTCTTCACTATCGTAACCGTACAATTTCCACCACTAATATTTAAAACAACTGATCCCATTCGATCAGCAGGTTTCTCTATTGCTACGCTACTTTTTGCCGTTTCACCCTTCTCTGATCTGATACTTTGTACGATTTATGATACCTTTACATGCTGCTCTTCGGTTTCTTCTTAGACTTTCTGGGATACTCCGCGAAGCCAACTCGATCATACTTTAATTGACTACATATCTCAAACTGGTCAGACGTATTTTGTTGTTCTTGATTGTAAAATATAAACAAATCATTACTTTAATTACACACTACTGCATCTACACAATAATCACTATCATTAATGCTTGTCACCAACTCAGTATTCAACGAAACTCAGTTAGGCAATTTTCACCTTTTCTATCTATCGTGTTTTTCCCAGCCGCAATGCATCGACCATAACCATCCACCTGGCTTGGGCTTTCCAGAGAACTAGCTCTTCGAACAAGTCCAATGACTGGGGAAAAGTATTCCATCCAGCCCGTCCTCTTCCAAATCTAGAAAGTCCCTATTATTTGTCTTTTTATCAACCCTTCACCAAACGCTTCACAAAGAAAGCTAAAATCTCGCCTTCTCGAACTAGATATCCTCACTCCACAAATGTCAATCAAGTAACAATAAGGTAGCTGTTGAAAAACATTCGGCCCAAAAATGCAAATACATTCACATATTTTGTATATTATACAGGGTGTATAAAGAAAAAGGTAATCGAACTTCAGCGCGCTGTTGTATCTGAATTACTCTGCGTATGAACGAGATTTTTCACATTCGGAAAGATCATGCTTTTAGCTGTTGAATGATATCTTCTTCATGCCAAATGGATAGAAAATGCATGAGCAAATACGAATCCGATAAAAAAGGTTAGTCAGAATCGCATATTTTCACCGTTGAGATTGGGTCTAAAACATTGAAAATGAACCCCCTTTGGTACTTAAGTTGATGAATTTCACTTCAATAAACGACGCACATATTCATAATTATTATTAAGTAGGAATAAATCTTAGCTAAGCTACGACACGTTCGTGATTAATTGCCTTTTCTTTTGTTATGCATTGTTTTAATTAGGCACAGAGGTGAAAATATGCGATTTTGACTAACATTTTTAATCGGCCTCGTAATTCTTATTTCTTCTCCACTAATTAGCATGAAAAGCATGTCATTCAACAGCTAAAAGCCTGATCTTTTCGAATATGAAAACCAATTGTTCATACGCCGAGTAATTCACGTATAATAGCGCGCTAAAGTTCGATTACCTTTTTTTAGATACACCCTGTACAGAGTGTCCCCAAAAAACAAAACTATTCAAATAACATATTGTTAAAATTTGAATGCTTTTATGCACCTGTGAGTTCAGCAGAGTGCCATTAAGGCATACAAATTCTAACAATACATTATTTCAATAGTTTGGTTTTTTTGGGACACCCTGTCAGATTAAAACAAGCAACGTGTGAATCTTAATTTTTACTTGACCACAACAATGGACTTGTAACTCGCTGCATACGTTTCTTTGTTAAAAAACAACCACAATGTTATTACTCGGATAATACCCTCGCTCTCGGTATTATTAAAAATAATGGCCTCGCGCTACGCGCTTGGTCATTATTTTTAATAATACCTCGAGCTCGAGCATTATAGTATATTGGATTCATGACTCTCTATTGAATTGAAATAAATGTTTGACACAACCGTTTAATTTGAACACGCCTATTGTTTGACATGCAGTTATAACCACAAATGACGCGATATGGCCCTGTAGTTATGCCGTATCGATATAAATACGTAACATTATATCCGAAGCCTTTCAATTGATTTAACCATAAAAATCACGCTATATTGTATCATTGTTAGTATAATGACATAGTTATTGATTCATGAAGGTTGAACCTGGGTTTCGGAACAATAGTTTGCGAACCCAGACGTCATTTCCCACGCTCATTGACGCGGCTCCCATTTCGCAGGCAATATAGAGTTTGAACATGGACAATTTTTTTAAAACTAGTTATGCCAAAGGATGAAACAGAAACATAATATATTGAAACATGCATGGTTGTAAAAATTTCACTAAAAGAGCTTAATAAAAACTCTGCATGCATGCCCAGTCAGTAACCAAAGCAAGTAAATTTCCAATATGTCTAGGTAAAAACTACGAGTATCTAAATAACTGAAGAAAGATAAACACTATTTGATTTAACAGACAAAGTTTTAGACAACTTTAAATGAGTTCAAGTTGTATTCAGTATAATAATCACAATCATTTAAATCAGAATATAAATTGCAATCGGAATTAAATCATTTAAAAAAGCCAAAATCCTGCTATAACCGGGCAAAAATGGATTATATAACATTAGACTAAATTCGTCGTCATCTAGACATTAAAAGGCAAAGCACTACTAAGTCTAAGACTATTGAATGATAACATTTAACACACAAACACAACGTATCTTAACTTATCTCAATGACGTTCTTGAGAGAGGTCTCCTGCAAAGGTATTGAACTCTTCCATTGAACTAAAGTAATGCACCGGACCGCAATTCCTAGAACAAAGTCAAAGAAATCTTAGACGTTTCCTAAACATGTACGTACGTTAATTGACTATATATGATTGAATTCACCATTCTCCATTAATTTGAATTGATTTAAATTGCTAATAATTCCACTTGAAACAAACCGAAAATCAAGTTACAACACGATGTTTAACGACTTTAACGGTCTTTAACCGCAATTTCTAGAACAAAGAAATTTTAGACGTTTCATTTGTACACTCTTCGTTTGGTTTTGTAACTGGCGTACTCTAGTAATTCCACTTGAAATTAACAAACCGAAAATAAAAGTTACAACACTACGATGTTTAACGGTCTTTAACCGCAATCGCGACGCCGGCTGTTGAACATGTCCCGAATAATCAATATCAATGCCAATGGACCATTTGCATTATAGACTAAATTTTGATCTAGACAAAAATTTCATCACAGCTTGAAAGAGCGTCACAAAATTAGTAATATTCCAAAATTTCGTTACGAAATGTTGTAAAATGCGAATAATATAGCCTTGCGAAATTTGCAATTTTCAGTCATTTTGTATTACAAACGGGAAATTGATGCCCCAACACCCGATTAGGCTGTCAATTTCCCGTGCGTAATACAAAATTTGCAAACTTTGCATGGCTATATTATCCGCATTTTACAACATTTCGCAACGAAACTTTGGAATATTACTAATTTTGTGATGCTCTTTCAAGCTGTGATGAAATTTTTGTCTAGATCAAAATTTAGTCTATAATGCAAATGGTCCATTGCAATTCTTGTCAGGCAGAAAAATAATTATTATTTCATACGTGATATGTGGAATTGGAACAGTTCATAATTCACGTAAGCAAACAGAGCTACCAATACTGGTACATTAGTACATAGAATACAAAACATATTTTAAAAATTTACGAATTAAAGATTAAGAATAACTGAATTAGGATAATTATTACCTTATGTGCACTATAAGAACAAAATATCGATAACTATGTGTCACGTTTTTAAGGGGGGTGGTGTGTCTTCCGAGAAACGTCCAGCTAATAACGTTTCTCATGGACAAAATCGATATGTGCATGAGGCTTCCCTAAATTCATCGTCATCAAGACAATGAAAAGGTAAAGCACTACTAAGACTATTGAATGATAAAGTTTAACACACAAACACAACGCATCTTAACTTATCTAAATGACGTTCTTGAGAGAGGTCTCCTGCAAAGGTATATTGAACTCTTCCATTGAACTAAAGTAGTGCACCAGACCGTAATTCGTAGAACAAAGAGATTTTAGACGTTTCCTAACCATGTGGCATGTACTAATTCCACATAAAACAAACCGAAAATAAAAGTTACAACACGATGTTTAACGATCTTTAACCGCAATCGCGACGGCTCTTGAACATGTCCCAATATCAATTACGATGCTTGCCAGGCGGGAAAATAATTATTATTTCATACGTGATATATGTGGAATTGGAAGAGTTCATAATTCACATAAACAAACTTTATTCTAACAGAGCTACCAATGCTGGCACAAAGAATACAACACATATTAAATTTACAGAAAGATTAAGAATTACTGAATTAGAATTATACTAGTTGCAATTGATCAAAATTTGTTAGGACATTGAAGCATTACTCTCTCATTACAATACAAACATACTTAACATACATAAACGAGTCATGATTATTGAAAGAACGAAACGAGTGACTTTTGTGGTTAAGCTTATAGATGAAATTTGTTCTGAGATCAGTTAAATAGTGCTGTACGCTTCCAACCTCGTTTAAATCGCAACTCTTGAGAAATTTGCACATGTGAAATCGTGGATG